TCAGCGACGCACTCTCCCCCGCCGCCGCCACCGCCACCCCGCTGGAGCGCGTCCGCCTCGGCCTTTCCGCAGACCCCCGCGCACGCATCCCCCGCGTCGTGCAGTACTCCCTGGCCCCCGGCGAGTCCCCGGACCTGCACTACCTCGTTACGCTGCGCGTCAAGGACGCTCCGCCGACACCGAAGAAGCCGCTGAGGCCCGCCAAGTCGCCCGCCATTACTGGCCGAATAGTGAAAAGGCCCTCGCTCAGACCAGATGACCCCCTTGCTACCTTCGCCTTGGGCCGTACCAAATCTGCGTCGCCGCGCGCCGGCCGTAGATCCTCCGCCCTGCTGCCGCAGCGAGTGCCCGACTTGCAGAGAATGGTCCGCACTGCGTCCGCGATGCACCCTAGGAAGACAGGCGACATCTTACTTGACGACTTTGAAGACGTTGCCCCCGTTGCCCCCGTTGCACGCCCCGATCCGACGCCCAAGGCACCGCCGCCCCCGCCGTCCCCGCCTGAAAATGGACATCTGCACCAGTCCCTCCGCGACTTAGACTTGTACCCCAACCACCCGCATCACCCTCTGGATGACCCGCTCGCCTTGCAATCCCCACATCCTCTCGCCACCACCGACGAACAAGAACAAGAGCACCTGTTAGGCCTGCATCCGCATCAACCGCAGGATGTCTTGCTTGTAGATCAAGATCCTCCCAAGGAGGAGGAAGAGGAGGAGGAAGAGGAGGAGAAGGAGGAGGAGGAGGAGGAGGAGGACATGATCGATCTTGTTGAAAAAGAGGAAAAGCCCGTCGTGCCACCGGCCCCTGACGATCAAGTCATCGAGGTTGCGCCCGATGGAAAAGAGATTGTCCCGCAGCTTCCGGAAAAGAAGCCGCCTTCGGGAAAGAAGCCCCCTCCAGAAAAGAACCCCCCTAGCTTGACCAACTACTACTCGCGACTGCACAGCGCCAAGGAAGAAACCACCAGAAAAAAGATACACATCGTCCCCATCGGTGACATCACCCCTCTCGAAGGCCTGCCGCCGGCCCAGGACACCGCCTTTGCGAAACGCGAGCGCCTCAAGGAAAAGATGGCCATGCGAAGCGCCAAGGGAAAGCAGGCCAAGCAGTCGAAGAAGGCCCAAGAGGCTCGCGAGCTTGAGAGGCGCCGAATGCTTGCCGAGAGGAAGAAGAAAAAGGCCGCCACTTCAAAAGAGGAACCTATCATCCTTGACGACGAAGAAGACCGCGTTCAACCCGACGCAGAGGCCGCACCCGCCAGCGCCATACACCCCGAGAATGGGGAGTCTTCGACGGTCCCCGCCCAAAACTCCAGGCCGCGTAGTCCCAACCGCATTCCTCACCACTCTCGTAAGCGACAGCGACTGCTTCGTCCCGATGCACCGCACGCGCAGAATGGACACGCCCCTCCTTTTCCCCAAGACCCTCCGTTTCATTCACCTGCACCTCCGTATGCCTGGCCACAAGGCAAACAACCACCACCCCATGGAGCACCGAATGGGGGGGCCCCAAACGGTTCATACCCGTCTTCTTTTCCACCGCCTGGCCGAGACCCGGTGCCACCTTACCCTCATGACCGCTTTCCGCAGTCGTACCCACACTATCCCCCGCACCCACACCCACAGTACCCTCACCCTCCTCCGCCCCAAGGGCCTATGCCGTATGGGTCGCATTCACAGTACCCTCCCCCTCCATACGGAGCCCCATATCCGAACCAGGGCTATCCCCCGCACGGGCAGCCACCCACATATCCCATGTACAACCACCACCAGCAACAGTACGGGGCCCCGCCGTATGGGGGGCCGGCGCAAGCACCGTTCCGCCCGCCTGCTCAGTTTGCGAAGCGAGAGCGACTCCCGGAACCCTTATTTGCTCAAAAGCGAAAGCAGCTGTACAACACAATTGGCGCCGAGCGAAAGGACCTGAGCCCAGACGATGAAAGAATAATTGATGATTTCCTCGATAATCAGATCTACATGTTTCGTCCTGAGGAAGAACAAAAGGATTTGCTGCTGGATTTACGGCCTGGGACACGCACGATATTGCGGATTCATAAAAATGATGGGGTGTGGTCGGTCGTCAAGTTGCGCGACTAAAAAGGCGGGGGGGTAAGTAACACGTGATTTACATTTTCTCTGTTTAAGCACCATGTTTAACCTTTGTTCAGGTACGTATATGCTAGACAATTGTTAGACAGACCATCCAGACAGAAACAAGGTTGCGGGGTTCTCTCATCCGTACTGCCAGGTTACACACGACGGATTTCATGCGGTTGAGGGAACCCAATATTTCTCTCAGTGTTAACACTTCTAGGACGCTAAATCGCGTTTGCAAAAACCTCTATGTATCTACAAACGTTGTAGCAAACAAAATCGTGCCAACTGTATGGAGCAAAATGCACATCCTTCAATACGGCAACACTCCGTTGCCCGCTTTGAAGGGAGCCCATTTAAAAAACTTGCAGTTCGCGTTTAAACCCTCCCCGGCCGGATATGGACATGAAAAGAATGTCTTTCCCTTGTTTTCCCCTGGCTTTAAAACTGTATTCAGCACGCATCGCTCTCCATGTCTGCACAAAGGCGGGGGTGGCGGACCTTTCAGCAACTTGCGCCAAGCTAGTGCGGTCTCTTTTTTGCGGTCAGAGTCCGCTTTTTGAGTGCTGCTCCATAGATTTTCGTCAGACTTCACGCTTGATTGTTTCGATGATCCCGGAGGTAGAGTATCATGCTTCTTCGATGCGCTGTCGCTAAACCGTGGGGAGGACAAAAGCCCCAGATTGGTGTGGTTCTTTGGTTTTTCTTTTCCTTTTCGAATCTGTCGCTTTGATGCAACACCTAGGGGCGATTTGGAAGCGTTGCTCTGTGGTACCAGGGGATTTTGCGTAGTAGGTCGGATGCTTTCCGTGGTAGTTGCATCCTTGTTTGCATAACGTTGCGATTTGTTAAGGAAAAGATTCGTCAAAGTCTGTTGCCTGACCGAGAACCGCTTCATGTACTTTGTGCAGAAAGGCGGCGGCTGTTTCGGCACTTGACCGGAAAATTCTGTGTCACTCAGGGAAACAGTCACCGGGCAATGGTCAGAGCCCATCACACCTGCCTCGATGTCGGCCTCGCGGACAGCTCGCGTGAACAAACTGCGATTCATGACAATCAAATCTATCCTGACGCCATGATTGTTTTCTCTAGCGCGAGTCATTTCAGACCAGCATGTATACGCATTCATCTTAAACGGATGCTTTTCTTTAAAAGAGTCAACAAAATCTGAGCCTGTCGAAGACAACAGGTTGCGGAACCAACAACGCGAAGGCCGCATGGCCCACTCCATGTGCAGAGACTGCGGGATTCGTTCAGCGCAGTCCGAAATCGATGGGCAGATGTTAAAGTCTCCAGCGACCATCACATTCCGCGACTTCGCTCGTAGAGCTTCGATTTTCGCAAGGAGGGCGTGCAAAAACTGCATCTTGAATGCAGACCGCCCCTCCACGCTGACAGCTGGTATGTAGACATTGACGAGGACGAATAAACCATGGTCGGTAATCACGCAACGACCTTCGTCTTCAATGAGAGACATGCTTTCTTCGGAGCAACCTTTTCCTTCACATGGACAGACTTCGAACTTGCAGCTACCACAAGCACCGGCTTCGTTAAATGATATGGAAGCTCCTCCAACTTTGCTACGAAGGCCTTCACCAGCATTCCATGGTGTGGCAACTCCTCTTCGACAAAACGTCGCCACGCCGCTATAGCCTCGCTTTTCCTTGCAAATACTGAAAAACGAATCATATCCGGCTACGAAGGCGAGACTTTCAAGGCTGTCGTCCCATTCCCCAGACACGCGCGTCTCTTGAAAGCACAGAATGTCTGCATTCAGCTGTTTAAACATATCCCCTAGAGGACGAAACTTGCGCAGGCCATTCACGTTCCAAGAAACTACCTTCATGACGTCGACGATACATATTCCTCCGGGCGTTGGCCCCCGCCGCGTCACAACATCCAATCACTACCCACAAGAGCTGCGTGGGGAGCTAGTTGTCGCCTGAACGTAGCGTAAAGACTCCAAGCAAACCGTTTCGGACAGTGCTCATACCTACCCAAGGGTAGCTAGGCGTCTTGACGTCACTGATAATATGGGAGGCTCCGGTCCCAGGCCTACACAGGCAACAATGCCATCTCTGGGTTTGCGCCTGCTTTCAAACCAGTCCTACAGTTTGCGATGCACAACCAGAAATCCAAATCACACATCGTGTACACCTGTACAGCATCACCTCCCCAAAAAAAGGTTTTACAAATCAACCTTTTTTTAGACGGTTCACTTTGACGATACTGTTGCGATTATCTCAACCGCCTGGCACCGAGCAACCTGTTGAATGGGAATCCTCCCTCAATTTCCTTTATTGCTGCGTCTGCCCCCCCTCTTGTCTATCTCCGAGGGTTGGCTATTAAGTACTACTTCCCCGAGGGGGCTCGGCTGTCTCTGACCCCCCCTTGCCTACTCCCTTCGTCGTCTCTCTCCCTCTCTTGCCCCACAAAAATGACTACTCCCTCGCTGCCTTTCCTTTCGCTTCCCTTAACGACAGCCCCGCGCTCCCCTCGCCCCGACTCCTGCCATCCGGTGCCGTCTTCATTTCCCTTCGGGAACTGGATCCCCCGCGCTTTCGCTTCCCTACAGGAGCACGCGTGTCCTTCAGTTTCGGTTCATGGACCCGTTGTCCACGTCTCTACGTGTTTCTAAGTCATTTCTCAACATCCGTCCCTTTTCCTTCGCCTCTGCTCATTCCCCGGGATTGCTCCGCGATTTTCTTTCCCTGCGATCAAACATCTGCACAATTATGTTTGGTATGTCTTCCTCCTTTGTCCAGCCTGGGGACTTCCTGCCGGCGATACGAACCTTGAACAGCCTTTGCCTCTTCCCAGTTCGGGGCTCCCCAAATTCTTTCCAATCCTTCATGCGCTCGAGTAGTCTCAATCCATCCGGAAACACGCCATTCCTCGCATCGCAGGTCTGAGTCGCGCCGGCAGCAATCTTCTGCATCCGGTTCGGGTGGACGCGAGCGACCTTCTTCCCCAACTCTGACTTCAGGAGGAAGCTCACGGGAGACAGGACTTCGTCAACGCGGTACGGTCCCAGCCAGGGTCGGATGATTTTGTTACCTTCTTTGCTGGCGAGTTCTGGAGACCACACCAGAACCCGGTCTCCGACAACAAATCCCAGGTCCCTCACCTCTTTGTCATATCTGTGGGATAACTCCTCTCCGGCCTGGGTTGGGTGAGAGGCGGAGGCTTTAGCGAGGGAGCACGCGGCGTGGACGCGACGCGCTAATTGAACCGATCGGACAAGCTCGCGAAAAGGGAGTGGCTCACTGGCCGGTTACGGGCAGTCGCTCCGTGGTGCGTGAACGGGAGCGACCGGTAACGGGTTAGAAGCCAGCGCGCGCGATAGACAACCGAAACGGACGTATATAGGCGTGAAAGGGACGGGGGCGAGCTTGCCCCAGTTTACTGGTGGGGACGGGTGTCAGGTCTTAACCCCTCAGAGGGACGCCTCGGGTACCTGTCCCAGTAAACAGTAGTACAGTACCTGCCGCCTAGTGCGTGCCGGGTACTGTACACAATTAAAAAGCTAGCGCCATAATTACTACTACCGCACGGACGCTGCTGCACGTGTGCACTACTGTACACGCGTGTTGCTTACAGACTACCGCACGGACGACACGTGTGCTAACGTGCACACGTAACACGCGTAGACTACCGCACGGACGACACGTGTGCTACTGTACACGTGCGCCACACCACGGCCGGTCGGTCAACACGCACGCTTCCTGCACGTGGGCACACCCGCCCACGTGTGCACCGTGCACGGCCGCACGGTTAATAACCTCCCCGCGCGCTCGCCGGTCGTTATACTACAATATCCCTGCGCAGCGGCTTCCCTTGACTTCATTCCGCGTGACAGCAATCTGTCGTGTAGTGCTTCGAGATGATTTCCCAGGTCATACGGCTCTCCTCGAACGCGGCTGGCTTCCTCAGGACCCCAAGGCATAAACGCAGGGATGCCGAACATTGCCTCATATGGATTCAAAGCAGTAGCCTCGCACACGCCTGTATTGTACCGGAAGCATGCTAGGGCAACGTGCGGATCCCAATCCTCGCTCCCGGCGCTCATGAGGCAGGCAACGTCCTGCATCAAAGTCCTATTCCACCTCTCCACACAGCCGTTTGCTTGTGGGTAGAGAGGTGAGGTCTTCACACGTCTCACACCGAGTTGCTCCGCCATCTTCTTGACTACAGTCCCGATGAAATTCGGCCCCCGATCTGACAAAAGACTCTCCATAGGACCGAAAATTGACACCCATTCGTCAAGTATCCGCTTGGCGACGGTGTCAGCACGTTCATCCGGTATAGGAATCGCACGAGCGAAGCGCGTGAAAGTATCAATGATCACTAAAAATGTTTGCACTCCCGGCTGCAGTTCTCGGTGTGACGGACTGGACGTCGACTGCGACTTGCTGGAACCTCCTTTGCGGATGATACACTACCATCTTGGCGTGCTTTGCGGGCTGGGCAGCCTTTGTGGCGGTGCATGCCACGCAGCATCGCAATCGCTTTTCCACATTCTGCCTCCAACCAGGCCACCAAAATGAACGGCAAAGTCGATCCGTGGTCCGGCTCACCCCGTAGTGCCCGCTGAGCTTTGACCCATGCAGCGCGTCCAGCACTGCATCCACCAGCACCTCCGGTACCACAATGACCTCCCGTGTCGCCCTAGTACGGCGCAGAATCCCCTTTTCATCCACGAAATATCCAGCGCCTCTCTTCTTGCGTGCGAACTCTTCGATGTCCCCGAATTCATGACGCTGTGCTGCACGAAATTCTCCCGCGGTAGGGCCACCGCCGAAGCCTGACAAGTCTACTAGTTCGCAGATAGCCTCGGTTCTTCTCCCTTCGGGTGGCCGTTCCTCAATGATCTTGTAACAGCGCGCGCAGAGAGGCTTCTCGACGGAGTCCCTACGTTGGGTGTCGGGCACAACAAGATCCCCGCCTGGGGCATGTTGGACTGTGAAGGTGAAATCTTGAATGTCCACCATCCACCTCGCCAATCTTCCCCGTAGATCCTTGAGGCTCATGAGCCACTTCAGCGAACAATGATCCGTTACCACGACCACGTCCGTCTCCCCATGTAGGTAGAAGCACCATTTGCGTAAACTGTGAACAACTGCAAGACACTTCTTCTCAGTTACTGTAAACTTCCTTTCGGCGTCAGTGAGCTTTCTGCTCGTAAACGCCACAGGATGCCACGTTTCGTCTTTTCCCATCTGCAGCAGAACGCCGCCGAGACCGTACGCACTGGCGTCGGTCATCAGCTTCTTGCTTGCGCCTCGTCTTGGTGCTGTGAGGAACTCCGGGTCATTCAAGACC